CCCGGAAACGTTTTGCAGCTTTCTCGGAAAAGCAGGCTTGGCTGCACAAAGAATGAAAGCGAGGCTTGAACAAATAGATTACTTTGTCATCTCCAATTGGCTAATTTCGTTGACATACTTTCAAAAGATATTACTAAGCTAGTCTTTGAAATGGCAATGTTTGCAAGGTGTCCTCCAAGTCATTATTTGTCATAATTTTAATAAAGTGATTTTACTGACTTACTCGGGGATACGATGGATTTTAAAACTTGCCAATTCCCTAAATCTAATAAGCACTTGTTAATTTATTTCACAAGTCAAGTATAATCATAGTTACATAAAAAATAGCCTTTTACCTCAGGAAATTATAGATTAAACGTGTCAGAAACCACGAAGAAAACGCTAAAACTTCTCCAGTCAAACAATATATTTATGACTCCTTTGTTCTCTACTATTGTCACTATTTGCTGAGAAAAGTTGTAAACTGACTCCGTTGTCATGTGGGTGCCATATTCAGCACATTACCTGTTATGTTTAATCAAACAAAATTTATCATTTATGCTAATTTTTCGTCGGCAACAAGAAAGCNCCAAGAAAGTCAAATTCCTAGAATCTCAAATTCCAAGAAGAATTAAGCTTGTTTTAAGATGAATATTGAAACCCAACTAAATCAACCCCACGAATTTTTCCTTTTATGAACTTTTATTTCTCAAGGGAAAAGCCCTGGATAGTTGATCCACGCCCCTAAGGAAGGGTTTCTAGGCACGCTGTATATCGTTTATGATTTTTGTTTTATTGATTCTCCGAGCAGTGGTTTCGAGATATACTATTTATAATATATATCATGGCTGTTTTTCGTTGTATTGACGAAAATTGCTAACCTAACAAAATCATGACGTTTTCTTGGAAAAACAGGGATGTTGGGACGGAATACATGGAAAAAAAAAAAAAAACCACTCTCGTTTTGATTATTAATATAGAATGCCGTATTAGCCTGAGTTCCAGCCTTGTTCTCTGATCACTCAGGGGTGACAGGGCGGACGACAGTTTGAAGAGTGGAAACTCGAAACGTATTAAAATGGCTGAGACAAATCATGCGCCAAGATTAATATGAAAATGCGGGCTGTATTCATCAAATCATACATCTTATACCCTATATTTTCCCCTTCTTCATTAACAAAAGGGGCAGATCCAGAAAAAAGCATAACCTTGATACACGATTGGAACGTGCTGGAGAGAAAAGCCATATCCTAG